CCGCGCATGCGTGGTTCCGCTCCCTGCGCCAGCCGAGGCGTAGCTGGCAAGCGGCAGAGACGGAGCAGGCCGACCACCAGCTGGCCCAGCCCAAGGGAGGTAAGGCACCCGCCGGAAAAGAGGGAAAAAATGGCAGACAAAAAAATGGCGGATAAAAAAAATGGCGGACAGCCTTGCTTGGCGACCCCCGTGAAATGGTTGATCGACCCCAAATGGGGTCCCGACCCATAGGTTGAGAACCACTGTTATAAAGGCACTGGAAGAAGTAACCTACACAACCAGTCCTCACACTTACAACCATTGCAACGTTCCTCATGGTTAAGGGATCAAAATTCAGGTGCTTGGCAACCAACATGTATTTATAACAATGGCAGCATCCTGGGGTCATGTGATCACCATTTGCAACCTCCTCAGCCAACTTCTGACAAGCAAAGTCTATGAGGGAAGCCAGACTTGCTTAAGGACTGAGCGATTTGCTTAACAAACATGGGAAAAGAATGGCGGTAAAATCGTGTGAGTCACTCAACATCTGCCTTGCTTAGCAATGAAAATTCTGGCCACAATTGTAAGTCGAGCACTACCTGTACTCAGAAAGGTAGCCACTTGTCTTCTTTGAACAGTCTCTCTTTTATGGCAGACAAAGTTCAGAAAGTTCAGAACGGAAATTGGGACGAAAAAGTATCCAAAGCCTCATTTGCCGCAAACAAGGGACACAGTCCAATTGACCGAGTCCAGATATTGCTTCAATATCAGTCTTAAAAGAAACAAAATGAAATTATAACGAAAGAAAAGATGTTCCTGAACACTTTGGTTGAGGAAATGCTAACCCATCAATTTTGCTCAGTTCTAAAGATTATAAAAAAGAATAGACACATTTCATTCAATTTAATATGTAATACAATTAATAGATCAGAACTCTTCCAAACAGCTTTTTAGCTCATAAAAGCATAAAAGCACTTCAAAGTTCTCTAATTCAATTGTGATTATGTTCTAAAATTGGACCAGGGAGTATCTAAAATAATTTCAATAATTACCTCCTCATTTTGTTGATCTTTAGGTTGTAATTGTATTTGCACTTATCTAAGTCTCAGTGAATTCAAGCTAAGAGTATATAAAAAGTTACATTAATATCTACTTTTGGTATCAGTTGTCAACATGTTTCGGGATTAATCTACAAAAACTGTAACCACACAGTTACCATTATAGAATGCAGGCCAGCTTTTTAAACAATATTTTAAATATATATTATTCACTTAAATGTTTAATACTGCCATATTTAGGAAAAATAATTTCAATATATGCTGTAGAACAATAATTGTAAACAATATAAATTCAAATTTTATCCAAATTACCTTTACTAAAATAATGTATTTTCTTT